CCCTTATCGCAGACGGGCACCGGGGATCGCATCATTATCATGGGCACTGTTTTCTTTTCGCGGCGCTGCTGTTTGCTTTTCGCTCTCGCCTGGGCCGGCAGGTTGGCGGGAGGCAGCGGGGGCGCAGGTAAGAAGAGGGGGCTCCGCCGCCGTGCCGCCTTCCCCAGGCGCGGACGGTGCGGAGCCGCCGCCCCGGGGGGACTGTGGCTGTCCGCTCTCCTCTGCCCTCTGTAAGGTGTTCAGGGGGAGGTCACTTCTCGCTGCTCGTAGCGCCGAGGGTGTTGGAAGTTGCGGTGGGGAGACGTTTTCTCGCGTGTTTGACACAGCCGGAGCCGAGGGATTTCTGCAGGGAGAGATAGGGAAGAAAAAGTTACTTAAGTGCCTACGAGATAAGCCTGTGCTGAGCTCTGGAGACTCCGCAGAGCAAGCGTTGGCTAGGATATCTTCATAGGTTTTCCTTGTCTGCGCATTAACCCAAAGACCTGGTGTTTTTAACAGCGGCGCTCGTATCGGTTTAATAGCTGTAATTATACTTTGGTTTTGCTTCTGTGTTTAAAAGAAAACAAGCCAAAAATCAAACACCCCCCAATGTTATCTGCTTTGGAACGTTGCAAGCCCAAAGTGCTTTTTGAAAGAAATGTATGCAGGCTCCCAAGTTGTGCGAGGAGAAATCTTTTGAGGTGAAGTACGAGTGGGGGCAGGAGGGGAGGGAGGAGGAGGTTGTGGAAAAAAAAAATCCCTGTTCCTCGGATAGAAGAGTTTAAATGTAACAAAATGAACGAAGTCAGCCTAGAAGTTCTTAAAGTCCGAGTAATGCAGTGTGAGATGTGGAGCAGAGCAGGGGCTCATACTTTGTTTTGCCCTTTCATTTGACTCATTGGCATTCACGCCTGACTCCCAGGCATCCTCTGGTTGCTGTGAAATGTCCCCCTTGGCTCAATGCAGTTTGAATTTTTGACGGCATTATAAAGAGTCCAGCTGTCACTTTTGATGTTCTTGATGGGAGATGGGTGCCGGTTTTAATGACTCAAAAGTATGAACCAAACCATTAAAAAAAAAAAAAATCCAGAAAAAACCTCCCAAAAACTTTTTTCTTCTTTGTGCTTGACTGAATCAGTGCCTGATCTGGGCAACACCTAAACTAATTCACGTGAATCATAGCTGGATCTGAACTGGCTCAGTGGTAAAAATATACGAATGGACAAAAAAGAAGGAAACATTACAGCAGCTCTGCCTCAGTACGGGAAATTACGACGCTTGGTGTTCTGTTCAAGTTTTTTCTTAAAACAAAGACAAACAAACAAAAAAAAAAAACCAAACACCTCTACAACAACAATACAGAGTCCGGGTAATTCTCTCCCTGGGATTCCAGAGGTGTCCCGGGGGCTGTCCCGGTCTACGCCTCCCAGAGAAGTTCTCTGCTGTGTGCCATGCTACACTGTCTGCTTATTCTCCCCTCTCTAAATAGCCCCCTCCCGTTCCCGGTGACTTTGAAGGATCCGCGTGTTATCACTGGAGATGGCTGAGCGAGCACTTCTGAAACAGCGTTCGGATTTCAAGCTAACAATAAAACTGTTTTCACTTTAGCGCACCTTGTTGAGGACCTGTTAATCTAACTGGCATGAAACCAACTGCACAAGCCTCTCGCTGTATGCCCGGCTGTCTCCTCGGTGCTTCCTGACCATAAAGCGGGGGCTGCGCTCTGTGCAGCTCTGCGGGTTCCCCTCCGGCTGCTCACCCGCTTCCCTGCCTGCGTGCTCGTGTTCTCCCGGCAGTCCCAGATGTGGCTGTGGCGTGGGGCGGGGAGAAAGCCCCTGGGAGGTGCGGGATTGACAGCAC